TGACCGTGTCACTCCTGTCCCAACCCTTGACGTAGCTATCCCAGCTGCTGCTGCCAGTGAACACATAGTGACCCCTGTTTTGCTCTTATTTTGCTCTCAGTCATTATTTCCTAAAGGTAACGTGCACATCTGAGAGTTCATGGGGCCACAACGAAAACTGCACATGTGGCAGCCTCTGACTTCCTGACATTTTTATTAAACGAAAGCATATTGTTTCCTTGCGAGATCTACCTTCTCGACTCCTCGTGCATCTGTCTGTCCTGTTTGAAAAACTGCCTGTTTTCTTAACACCTTTTGGCCTTTTGCTGCCCAGCCTGAGGTAAGAGGACAACATTTGCAATTAATAATCAGCACGAAAGGCGCCTTGTTATTTTGGGGATTTCCGGATGCTCCATCTCCCAGGGTCCCAGATGCAGCAACAATTTGGCTGCTTTTGACCGTGAGCTGCAGAGGAACCCAGGCTGCTTCCAAAGGAGCGTTTGTGGTTGTTAATTCATTGTTTTAATTTATTGGGGTGTGGGTGTGGAGGACATGTGGCTTCAATAAAATCTATATTTCAGCACAGAGATAATTGGAGGCTTTCAGACGTTGTGTTGTGACATGTGTTGGAACCAAATGGAAAACAGCTGAGTCCTTTTGGGTATCGACTCCTCCACCTGCGGGTTCTGCAGTTCTGGCTCTGTGAGCTACTCGACCCTTTAGGAATTGTGAAGCAGAAAAGACAAGCCCCAGGCTGGGACAGGAACAAAGTTCAGGTCCTCTCCCAGAGTGATGTCAGCAATAATGTCAAAAACATTACAGGGCGGTGAGGTGGCTCTGTGGCTAAGGATCTGCGCCTGTGGCTGGAAGGTTGCCGGTTTGAATCTTATTGTCGGCAGATAAATCCTACTCCATTGGGCCCCTGAGCAAGGCCCTTAACCCCAACTGCTCCAGGGGTGCTGTATAAATGGCTGACCCTGCGCTCTGACAGGGAGCTTCTCTCCCTGTCTGGGGTATGTGAAAAGACAAATTCCTAATACAAGAAATTGTATATGGCCAATAAGGTGATCTGATCTTATCTAAACGTAGGCTATTGTACAAGAATATTTCATCTCATCTGCAGCACGGCTAATCTGGATCTATATTATCACATTGCATTGGACTGAGTAAGGAGAAGAAACTCAGCTGAAAGAATTGCCACTTGCTCCTTACATCCTGTCTAGTGAGATCGCTCTGCGCTTGCTAAGGTACTCCAGTCATTCTAACTACCTGTCCTGGTGGCCTGGCGGTGGAGAAATTCTCCATTATGTTAACAAATGAGCAAGGCTAATGTCCCTCTTCACTGTGGTGGACCAATCCACTGTGGGATACAAGTTCTCCCAAGACCCTATCACGATTTCTGGTTTTAGTTTAAGCAGCACGTTCCGGTCAGCTTCTTCATCAACCCGTTTTGCAAGAGATCACCTTCACGGTCCTGTGTTTCGCTCTTCAGCTCCATTTCAGCATTCCGGTTTTTGCTTCAAATGCAGATCCCTTCCCTTCACAATGCACCCTGCCCTCGGCGCCTACACACGCTCTGCTTTGGAAACGAGGTCACCGATCTCTGGTTTGTAACCTGACCCATCTGCTTTGTTCTCTCGTCTCTCCCAGCGCACGCTCCCCTGCGCCTCTTTGCCTCCTCGGATCAAACTGCGCCCGGTGCCGTTTGCACCTTTGCTGGGGCAGGTCCGGCCTGAACGCGATCACACGAGGGCCGGTCTCCCCAGCCCCTCTCCACGTTGAGAGATAGAATGACACTTAATCACCCTTTCCTTTCTCAAGAATGTTGCTGGTCAGTCTTTCTGGCCTCAGGGTGCTCTACCAGCACTCAGAAAGGCTAATTGGAATCGTCTTGGAGAACAGTTAAGGTTACATGTGCAAACAATTAAAAGGCACTGAAAAGGCAGCTTTTAGCCTGAAGCTGTGGAGACTCTACACCCAACCTGTGTTTCTGCAAAGTCGTTTTTCCAGCAGAGAATCGAAGAGGGGGGAATTTCCCATTCTTGAAATGATATTGCTAGGATTTTTCTTTTCTCCCTGTTTTCCAAATGAAAAGATTAATTTCCCGTTTTTTTTTTTGCTGCGGCTTTTCCTGAAAATGTACCATTCTCCTACACTTTCCCACCATTCTCCCACGGATTCACTGTAATTTGCTGGGACCCAGTTTGGCAGTCCATTTTTAAGGTCTATGTAAGAGCAAAAGTGTTGAAATATCCTTGGTTCTTGCTTGGTGTTAATCTCCACGTTCTTGATTTGACTACTGACAAAACCTGAAAGGAGCATGCTTTCTGGTCCTCCTGGAATGTCAGCACATCTAACCATAACCCTGGAGTGGATAAACAGAGTGTGGTTCTTTTATCACAGATATTCCCTTAAACACCGCCCAGCGATCAGGTTCGAGAAGTTATTAATTCGACACAAACCTGCGATCTGACCTACGGAGTGAAATGAAGAACGCGCACAGCAGAGTCATGCAAACCCCGAGAAATGAAATGGCGTTAAATTGTATAATGCCGATATCACTTGGTGATAAACACATCATACAATTCAAGGTACTACTCGGCGAATGAATATGAACTACGACGGAGAAGCTCTGACTCGGGAAACGATCATTGCGCAATCTCTCCTCATTTTCGTTCGGATAATGACTGGGCGCATATTTCGCAGTCTCACAGGGAGACAGATTAAATTAAGGGATTACACGCCTCATATTTTGCTCCACTTTATGACGGACATCGAGGGGTGTCGGAGTTAGGTTTAATCTTCCTTTTACATCCGGATTAAACCAGTGAAAATGAGTGGCCCACTCTGAAAGATTGAACGGTTTAATGGGATTTTCATCCGCCGTTGTTTATGTACCATTTAAAATCTGGTTTTTGGCCTACGGTGATGTAGAGACCATCTGGGAGGGTTAAAGTCTTACTGCTAGCCCTGAGTCCGGAAACGTGTCCGCTAGCAGAGGCCTTTAGCCAATTAAGGAGCTGTGGGGATCTTGGGTTTCTTCTTGTAACTATACTTATTCAAATCGCTTTTAACCGTATTTAAAAAAAAACCACAAACCCTGGAAACACAACCGTTACATTTATAGGTGACGTTTACACGATTTTAGTTTTAAAACTTAAAAGACGGGGAGAATGCAACATTAAATAAATGACGTTTCCGTTCGGGTGATAAATCTTGGTAATTATTTAGGCATTTGGGCGTTAAATGCCTGGCACAGGTCCGTGTTATCCTCTAATAATCCAAAGAACGTCAAAGAAATAAATATTATTTCATGATGTGCTATAGAAACGCATCATCGTCGCAATCATAAAAATAATGATCGCGTGTACGCGCAAAGAGTTCAGGGTGTCCTCTCACCTCTGAAGGAAATATACATTTCCCTACGAATCAGGTCGAGCTCTGCTCCGCTCCCTGTGTGCAGCGGCGGAGTTCTAGATAACCCGGACTCACCGCAGGACTCCCAGAGGCATTGCATAAAGGGGTGCTTGAAAGATTTATCGCCCTACAGTAATTGTCAAATCTCGCCTGTAACATCGCTTTGACTGGCTCTATTATTTAATAGCGCTGCGTTAGGGCTCCACTTCTTGTGAGACTGTCAGAGATACTTTTCCCATCCTTAGGAAAAGTACCGGCTGACGATTGCAATGTTGGTTTAACCTCTGAATACTCTGCAGGCACGTCTCGTTTTTCCCTCTGGATTTTGAGGACTAAGACTATGATTCACGTGTGTAAATATTAAATTCTTCTTTGCGTTTCTTGAAATATCTCACAAACATTGATGTATTGTTCGTTTCATTATTATTTCTACTATGACTGATCGTGTTATTTCTAAAAACACCGTTGATATAACTCAGGACCTTGGTGGCATTTCTGTGCTTATGGTCAACATATGTTTAAGCGTTAGACTTTGAGACGTCATGGGATGTATGTTTCAAAACTTTGCGAATCGGCTGTAGATCTGGAAACGGAGACAGAACCCCGCGTCCTACGGACCACATTGACCGCACTTGAAATTGGGTTGAAATATTCGGGTACTCGAGTACTGTGTTCAATAACGGTGGGTTAAATGGCACTTGATAAGATTGCCATCATTTCTAATAATTCGACACTGACGTTTCTTTTAACGCAAGAGTTCTGTTCCCAAATATTCTCCAGGACGCGTGGACGAACACGAGAGGCCCACCCACGGTTTTCCTATATGTGGCACGGGACTTTCCGCGCCCCTGCGAATGTTCCTTCTTTTCAAGGAGAATCCGAAACGCTGTAAATCAAGTCTTGCCCAAGCTGGGAAAGGAACTCATCCCTGAAACGTGGTCCGTTTAAAAGACGGGCGCATAAACCAACAGTTTTGAGGAGGTCACTACACAAGTTAAAGGTGTCACGTACTGCTGGAAAGCCTTCTAACGCGCACTCTGAAAACTGCCAAAACCAACACTTTCAGCCGGAGCTGCTCTTTCGGCGCTAATGGTGCCGTTCGAGCAATCGAGCGAACACTTCTTCCACAAACTTCGACCTCACCCTGTACCGCTAATGTGGGAAATTCTGCCGCCGTTTGGACATATTTGGAAGCGTCTGGAAAGTGTAGACTATTAAGTTATCATTGTGCTACAAACGGTTTAAAAAAGCATTATGCCTTTGACTGAAAGACGAGCGATGTATCTCTAAGACGTTATATTAGCGATGTCGCGCATTCCTGCAGGGCACAAGAGGCTTTCACACACCACCTCCTAGGTTAATCAAATTCATATATATTTAAAATATGTGGAAACAGCAAAGCAGTATGTTCTCTT